CAGGTCTGGAGAATGAATTCCTCGGTGATCGGATCCCGACAATTCATCGCTTTGTTCCGGAACCTCTTGACGAAGTTGTCCACCAATTCCTTGTCTTTATGCTTCTCGTCCAGCAACGATCCGATGGATATCTCTGTGTCGTCGTCTGAAGTTAATTAGACTAAACTTCGCCGGATAGGGGATTGATTCCCACTCTCTGGGGTAGGGACAAGGAACGCCAGTCTTCTTCACCTCTTGAGCAGAAATCAACGTATTGATCTTGTTCTCGAGGCTTCTGATCTTTGGGTTTTCACCTGTGTTGTCGCTAGCATTCTTATTACCACCCTCTGTATTGACGGGAGGATTGGCATTATGCGTCTCATTCGCATTTGTGTCCTCATCTTCCAGATTAACCTGGTTACGACGACTTGGCTCGGCTTGCTGGTTCGTCAATGCTCGGATTTGCTGGTCATGCATTTCTCTCCTGTTCTGCATGGCCATCTGCATTTCGAACCTGAAGCTCTCTTGTTGCTTAGCTAAGGCGTCTTCGAGCATCTTGGCCACTTGTTCCGTGCTTATCATGAATGACTCGCGGGGTTGTCCATCGCTGGATACCGTGTTATCTGATGTGACGGCAGAGCAGGAATCCGATTCTTCATCTTCTGACGGTGATCTTGTCCGAATCCTACCATAAGTTCCTCGTATGATAGCTTTAGACTGCAGACGAGTTAGATACCGGGGTATTGGCGGAATTGATTCGGGATTATCCCGTGTCGATGCCCTTTTGCTGGTCATGTTGGTGGTGACCCTCGGAAATTCTCCGTCTTCGACTATCCTTCTTCTTCGTCGGAAACGCCTAGGCCTTGGTTTCGGCGTTTCGATACTGAGCCTTTCGAAAACCGAAACTCTTTTGGGGACTGCCTTGATGCAGTTGCACTCAGCCAGTACCACCCGAATGAGCTTTGAACAATGGCACTGAGTTTCCGGTCCTCGGGGACTTCTCTTTCTGGCTTTCCTCGTGCTCCCATCTCGATAGTACAGCTCTTCCGTTTGAAAGTCGGAGCAACCTATCGTGTATTGGCACGATTTCTCAGGTATAACGCAATCATCATCAGACGATAACGTTTCCTTCTGAGAGTGAATTATCTTCTTTGGACTTTCGAGAGTCACGCGCCTCGAAACGCGCCTTTGTGGCGTGAATTCTCAACGGGCTCCTGGACTTCAATGCGCAAGGTAGTGCGCTTGGGTGCCATGATTTCTTTGTCATGTTGAGGGTTGCCGCGACCCCCAGCATGTTGATTCGTTCGGGACTTCTTCATTGGTCCCAAACGTCCTTGGATTGGAGCTTTGCTTCGCTCCTCGGGAAGTGGACCGAGGCGCTCCAAGACTGACTTCCTTTTCTGGGATGGTCCTGCGGGATCTCCCGGAGCAGTTGTGGAAATCATCGACGGTCTGGATTGATTCGCCGGTTGCTCCTTAGCCTGAATTGCCGCTTCAGACTTTGGCCTCCAGACTTTGCGAGTTGGTGGCGGCTTCTTGGCCACCTCTTTCTGCAACTTCCTACGGGCTTCTTCAGCTTGAGCCCGTGCCTGCGCTGATAGTGCGCGGCGCTTGCGAATGCTCTCCTCCAGCGTTGATCGGTTCCGTTTGACACGGACCCATTCCATTGTTGGCGGCCTAAAGGAACCACCATTCATTGATTGTTGAGGCTTTTTGCCTCTCTTGTTCTTTAGATCCGCGTTGTAGCGGATCCCGTCAACAGACTCCATGGCCTTTGCGAATTGTTTCGCAAGGCGTTGACGTTGCCTTTGGCGGGCTCTCTTCGAGAGAGTCACCACGCCCTCTGCGGCAGAAGGGTTGGCCAGAGCAGATCTGCCTTGGTTGGGAATTGGAGGAATCTCACCCGATGCGGCTTTGGCATCCAGCGGGGTGAGATCTTCGTTGGTGTTTTCAACGTCTTCATACCAACGAGTTTTTCTCCTGGAGGAGAACTTTTTGGACTTG